CATATGTCCATCAAAAAAAAAAAAAATTTTTTTTAACACTTCCTTACTTTCTGGCACTACAAGATGCTCCACGTTCATATTGTATATTTCCTGCTCCAGTCATAGTATCAGCCACTTCTCTTAGGAGCCCTGGTTGCTTTTGTTGGAGAATGGTATTAGAATCAAGATCTAGGAGCTAGGTGTATATTACTTTTAAGTAAAACAAAAACAAACAGACAAATAGAATCCACTAAATTCTCAATAAGGAGTACAATTCTCCTATGGATCCTATGCTCAAACATGTTGGTACTGCCAGTGATCACTCACCTAGCTAGGGTGAAGATATAACACTTTAGGGGCTTAAACAATGCTTCTACTTATATAGCAGTCTAAACTGCTGCTGCTGAATAGTAAGAATGCTATCTTCAATGTATTCTCTGTCAAGATTTATATTCCACTGAAAAACTGTCAGAACAATACAAGACTATGAGCCTGGTTAAGAAAGATTTTTTTTTCTTTTATTTTAGCTTCTATAGAACATTTAGTGCTTTGACCTCTGTCCTGTTTGACAATGGTTTTGAATCCCTATCTCATTACTTAGTACAGATTGTACACACAGGCTAAGTAACACACTTTGATGAAAATAGAAATTCTTAAAAGACTGTTGCCGAGAAGTCTTCAAGCAAAAGTATGTTCATCTAAGTAACAATGTACTTTAAAATCAGAAATGGAAAGACTGACAAAGTAAATTAGTTTAGCCTTAGGTATCCCAATTTAGATTTTTTTTTAAAAAGGTGTTCAAATTGCAGTTATTCCATTTGTTATCAGCCTGTTTTTTTTGTTTGTTTGTTTTGTTTGGGGTGGGGGGATGCTTTGAAAAGAAAAAACTACACCTAAAACATGTAATTCAGCACATATAAAAGAGGCTTAATGGAAAAATAACGTTTTTTATACCAGATCTAACATAAGCATCTTCTAAAATGAATTAATTTTCAGAATTTGCCTATTTTAATTTTTAAAATTTTGTTGTTTTTGAGAATATTCACAGCAAAACATACACCAACAGTTTCTACATGTACAATTTAGTGGCACTGATTACATTCTTTTAGTTGTGCAACCATTCTCACCATCCTTTTCTGACTTGTTCCTCCTTCATTAACATAAACTCACTGTCCCCTATGGTTCCTATCTAATCTTTCCAAGTTGCTGTTGTTAATTTGATCCCATATAGTTCTTAAAAGAGCATAATGCTCAAGGCAGACTTTTTTTTTTTATTACTTAACTAAACTACTGTTTGGTTTTAAGATGATTTCAAGGGATATTTTTGGTTTAAGGTTTGAAGATTATCTCAGGACAATAGTTTCAGGGTTTCATCTACACTCCATGACTCCAGAAAGTCTGGAGTCTGTAAGAATTTTAAATTCTCTTCTGCATTTTCCCCCTTTTGATCAGAATTCTTCTATGGAATCTTTGATCAAAATGTTCACTAATGGTAGCCAGGCACCATCCAGTTCTGGTCTCATGGCAAAGAAGGCAATTGTTCATGGAGGCAATTAGCCAAATATTCCATTTCCTCCTCCTATTCTTGACTCTCCTTCTTCTTCTGTTGTTCCAGGTGAATAAATAGAGACCAATTGTTGTGCCTTGGATGGCTGCTTGCAAGCTTTTAAGACCACAGACACTACAAAACAAACTAAGAGGTAAAACAGAAGCACTAACACACCATTAGGCTAATTAACTGGGATGTTCCATTAAACCATGACCTAAACCTCCAAACCAAGAAACCAAATCCCATGAGATGTTTGGCTGTATGTAAGCAGCCTCAGTAGCTCCTTTTTTTTTTTTTTGGTCGTTGTAAATATATCTATCGCACAACTCTTGCCAATTCAGCTTTTTACAGGTGTACAACTTATTGCAGCAATTACAATAATTGGCTGTACAATGCTACCCTTACTCAATGCGACTTTTCCATTACCATTAACTCTCCTTTTCCCCCTCCCCCCCTGCCACTGGTAACCACTAATAAACTTTGGACTCTATACATTTGCCTGTTCTTGTCTTTTTATATAAGTGAGGTCATACAGTATTTGTCCTTTTGTGATTGGCTTATTTTGCTCAGCATGTCTTCAAGCTCCATCCATATGGTAGCATGTATGAACACTTCATTTTTCCTACTGGCTGAGTAGTATTCCATTGTATGTATATACCACATTTTCTTTATCCATTCATCTGCTGATGGGCATTTAGGCTGTTTCCAGCTTTTGGCTATTGTGAATAGTGCTGCAGTGAACACTGGTGTACAAGTCTCCTTTTGAGTCTCTGCTTTCAAGTCTGTTGGGTATATATCTAGGAATGGAATTGCTGGGTCATATGTAGTTCTATTTTTAGGTACTGCCACACTGTTTTCCACAACAGCCGTACCATTCTGCATTCCCACTAGCAATGGATAAAGGTTCCAATTTTCCTACATCCTCATCAACATTTGTTATTTTCTGGTTTTTTGTTTGTTCGTTTGTTTGTTTAATCTTAGCCATCCTAGTGGGAATAAAATGGTATCTCACTGTGGTTTTGATTTGCATCTCTCTGATGGCTAATAACACTGAGCATCTTTTCATGTGTTTGGTGGCCATTTGAATGTCCTCTTTGGTGAAACATCTATTCAACTCCTTTGCCCATTTTATGATTGGGTTGTCTTTTTGTTGTTAAGTTGTTTAAGTTTTATATATATTTTGGTTATTAGGTTCTTGTTGGATACATGGTTCCTGAAGATATTCTTCCAGTTGGTAGCTTGTCTTTCACTTTTTTGGTAAAGTCTTTTGATGAACAAAAGTTTTAAATTTTTACGAGGTCCCATTTATTTTGTATTTTGCTTTTTGTACTTTTGTTATTGTATTAGATAATCCATTGTTAAAAGCTAGGCCTGACAGTGTTGCCCGTTTGTTCTTCTGAGAATTTTATGGTTTTAGTCTGCACATTTAGGTCCTTCATCCATTTTAAATTTGTTTTTGTGTATGGTGTGAAGCACGGGTCCTGTTTCATTTTTCCGCATGTGGAAATCCAATTTTCCCAGCATGACTTATTTTAGAGACTCTTCTTTCCCCGTCAAATGGACTTGGCACCCTTATCAAAAATTGTTGACCACAGATGTGTGGGTTATTTCTGGACTGTCAATTCTATTCCATTGGTCTATGTGTCTATTGTTATACCAGTACCAGGCTATGTTGATTACTATCGCTGTACAGTATATTTTATAATCAGAAAGTGTGAGTCCTCCTACTTTTTCTCTTTCAACATTGTCTTAGCTATCTGGGGCCTCTTGCCATTCCATGTAAGTTGAGGATTGTTTTTTTTCTATTTCTGTAAAGAAGGCTGTTGGAATTTTGATCGAGATTGCGCTGTATCTATAGATTGCTTTGGGTAGTACTGACATCTTAACAATATTAAGTCTTCCAATCCATGAACATAGAACATCTTTCCATTTATTTAATCTTCTTTAATCTCTTTCAGCAGTGTTTTACAGTTTTCACTGTATAAGTCCTTCATGTCCCTGGTTAGACTTTTTCCTAGGTATTTTATTCTCTTAGATGCTATTGTAAATGGAATTGTTTCCCTAATTTCCCTTTCAGATTTCTCATTGCTGGTATACAGAAACCCAACTGATTTTTGTTTGTTGACCTTGTACGCTGCAACTTTGCTAAATTTCTCTATTACCTCTAGAAGTCTTATGGACTCTTTGGGATTTTCTATACATAGGATTTGTCTATTTTTGAGCTATTTCATCAAAACTACAATATTAATTTCTTGTCTGTTTTACCTCTCTCAATAGATTGTAAGCAAATCTTTTTTCTGTATGTATTTAAAATAGAAAGATAAGATTTGATAAAATACTAATAATAGTTTGCCATACTTCACTGAATCTAAGACACTGATGCTAGAGCGCTCCTGATCTTACCAGAAGGTGTCAACAGAAGTTTTCATGTTAATTAGGACACAACTGGAGCCCTGGTGGCGAAGCAGTTAAGAGCTCAGGCTGCTAACCAAAAGTTCGGCAGTTCGAAACCCTATCAGGCAGTTATACTCTGTCCTATAGCGTTGCTACGAGTCGGAATTGACTCAACGGCACACAACAATAACAGGACATAACTGCCATCTGGCTGGCAGACAGTGTGAACACCATCACCTTTAAGATGCATCATGATTTTAGAGGTTATAGTGTGTGTGTGGGCGGGGGGAGAGTCTGTCTTAGAATTGATGCAACAGATTAACAACAAATTGGACTGTACCATTGTTTATAGAGCACTGAAAAATTCTAGGAAACCTTTCCCTCCTATATGTCACTATCAACACTTAACAATACTTCTCATTTAATATTAAGTTTTCTTCTATAGTCTATAGCATATCAGTACATTCTTCTCTATAGATTGAATAATACAGAATCTTCCTCTAAATCTTACTGGCAGGTTCTCCTAAATTCTTTACAGTTGCCGCAGTAATTGAATAGAATTAATTCTGCTTATCTGTGTCATAAACCACTAAGGAAATTGCTCTACACCTGAGAAAGATAAAAAAATCTGGGATTCGCACCCCAAATGATGACAGTCATTTTGTATCAACCTTCAATTACCCAAGAGCTTTTAATACTCTGACCTTAAGTTTTTTTACACAAGCATTTATTAAGTAACTATCAGTTAGTCAAGGAACAGGTATATATAAAAAGGGAAGTCCTATTTAACGAATTCTAAGTAAATGCCTTTATCTATACCCATAGAAAATACCCATTAGTTTATAAATTTAGCAGTACTCAGGCATAATCCAGTGTTTATGTATGTGTATAGGCACATATCTACATACCTTACTGTGTATTTTTGTTTAAGTATGTGTGTACATTAGGCAGAAAACCAAAGCGAAGGGGAGAAATTACAAAAAAGACAAAGAATATATTTTAAAAAATTAGTACAAGCAGGTAAAAATACAATTTCTGAAAATTGTTTACACTCTTCTTAAAAATAATTTGTACTCACCTTTTCTGGAATATCTTGAATAATGATGTCCAAATGTGACAAAACTGATAAAAATGTACAAATGCTTGTTTTAAATTTTTCTTCACCCTGAAAACACAAATAACCAAATAAGCCAAGATAAACAAATATCCATCCCAGGCTTATTATAAGCACATGTGAGGGCCTGTGCTGGACCCTGGAGGTGCACAGGAGGGGAGGCAGTCTCTCCCCTCAAGCAGCCTATGGCCTGGTTGCGAATACAGGATTAAAAGCAAAAAAGAAAAAAAAAAAAGGAAAGTAACTTCCGAAAGTCTAATGCCAATTCACACAACAATCAGCACACAGCAATAATACAAGGCATTAGATAATATAGCTGTAAAGTGAGTAGTAGTGCCAAGGGCATGCCTGCCTCAGGATGGGAAAGACTGGCCTGGAGGAGAGGCCACAGAGGAGCAGGAATGAGAGAATAGACGGTTACAGGGGAAAGGTGAATAAACTGAACAAAGACACGGAGGTAAATGTAAGGGAATGGCAGCAAAAGGTGAAGAGACCAGCTTGGCAGGGGGATGACTGAGATAAGGCTCACAGGTTGAATGGGATCATATTGTAGAAGACTTTTAAAAAGTCACGCTGAAAACTATATAAGAGTTTTAAACTGGAATTTAAAAACTTTCTCAATGATATCGATTAGGAATAACACATTATTTTTGTGATAATAAACTAAGGGATGCCGACAGACTCAGAAGGAGACAATAAGCAGAAAGGCCAGTTCAGAAACTGCTCCAAGAGGAAGTATGAGATGATTTATTCATTTAGCAAATACTTATTGAACGTCCTCTCTGTGAAAGCTGGTCTGCAATGGATGGAAAGAGTGGGCTGGGGAGGATGTGAAAAATGGAATTATGGAATATAGATACCTCTTACAGGAAGTCTGGCTGTGAAATGGTAGACAGACAGTGAGTGAGTGAGTGGGTGGTTATGAAGAGATGGATGAGAAGATCTGTGTAAATATCCATAACAATCGATGAGAACTGAGCATGTTTAAAAGCCAATGGAAACCATTTGGTTAAGAAGGAGAGACTGAGTATAGAAGAAAGACTAAAAGCAAAAGGTTCCTACAAAGGCAGAAGGAATTGGAGCCATAATTACTATTAAATAGGGAAAAATTCAGGTTCTCTGTTGTATAGTGTCATTATAAGTCAGAATCACTTGATGGCAACAGGTTTTTTTTTTTTTTTATGGTAAAAGAAGGGAAGAAGTCTAGTGTGGATACAGACATAGGTGGATTTGTATGACTGCTATTGACAAGATAATGTTATTCCTATGTGCTGGCTTTTACATTCTCTGAAAAATAAAAGGTAAGTTCATCTGCTGCAGAATAAAGCAGTGCATGTGTGCCCCTTTTTTGGTATCTATCCTGAATCCGCTTTCAAGTTTAGAGAATTCTCCTACTTTATGAGCTTGTGGGAAGCTGAAAATTCCAGATACACATTTACTCAGCCTCCCTTGCCGCTAACCAGAAGGCACAAGGCCTGAGATCCAGAGACATCCACCCGAAATTCTGAATCGAAAACCCATAATATGAAGCAGCAGAGCCCACAGATGGCACATCTCCTGCCGGAGGCAGAGGCAGCAATAATACCTAGTTTGCTGAGGCTGAAGCACTGCTGTGATAGCACCCTGCATCCAGTGCTGGTAGCAGTGATGTCCAGCTTCACGGCATGACTGTGGCTGCCGTTCTGGAAGCGGCTGAGCCTCCCTTGTTCCTGCCTATTTTCTAAGTCTGATTCTGTTGCTTTCCTGGCATTCTGTGAGCTATCTAATATCCTCACCCCACCCCACCACACCCTACCCTCTGTTTTGTAAGTCTCGTTTTATTTCAGCCAGCAAAAGTTGTTTTGGTTGCTTATAATTAAAAAACCTGAATGATTATCTATAGGAAAAAATGGAGGTTTAAAAAAGGAATAAACAAGGTCTGAAAAGTTCTTTATGAAAAGGAAAAGACTGAGATAAGCAGAAAAACAAAATAGAATTGCCAGTGTTACTGGAACACATGAAAGTCAGGAAGTTTTAGATGTATGCTGAAAACAATTTGTTCTTTTGTGAGGATTTCGGAAGCAGTCCTTACTCACTTGAGAACAGGCTGTGCGAAAGCAGAGAGTAAGGTGCATCTACAGTTGAAATGATGGGGAAAAACTAGATTAACAAAGCAATATCTGAGAAGCAATTCAAGGAAAAGTGACAGACTATTATTCTTAATTAAATGGACATGGAAGAGGAGGTATCTTCTAATGGTGAAAAAGAATGTGGCTTTTGAAATTAAACAGACATTTCAGTTAAAGCTTTATCATTTTCTTAATGGTGTGACAAATCACCCTGAACTTTAGTTTTTTCGTAAGTAAAATGTAAAAACTCCAACCAGTCTTTCATGACTACTGTGAGGATGCTGTTGTTGCTGCTTATTGAAACATCCAGGTTTCAAGCTAGGAGACTGGGAGAATTAACAATATCAAAAGGGGAGCCAATCTTATAGGAAGATACTATATTACAGTTTAGCTTTATACATGATTAAGTTTGCAGTGACTGCGACAATGTCGAATGGGCAGCTGGAGATGCAGCGAAGCAGCACAGACAGGGTTGACAATGCAAAGATTTACAGAGACTCAGAGTACAGAAGTCCCCTAAGGGAGTGTATGAAGAGAAGCACAAGGCACTATATAACAATTGATACCATAAGGCCAAGCATAAGAGTTGAGACAAAGAAAGGAAATACATGAAGTAATCTGCATAATAGGAAGAGAACAATGATAGCACACAGTAGCGCAATAATCGCTGCAGAGAAAGTAACCGCCAATGTGAAAGGTTGCCAGGGTGGTAAGTAGAATGAAGAAAGGAAAAATGAAGGCACTAGCTGGAGATAAAATTCTCAATACATGATTTCTGAAAATGTAGTGGACTTCAGTGGCTGCAGGACAGCAAGGAGGAAGGCAAAGATCACTCATTATAGAAGCTGAATAGTAAACAGAAGAGACTGAGACAATGGCTGGGTGGAGGAAAAGTCAACAGAAAAAAGACTGGAGATATTGGAGACAGGAAAGAATTCAGATAGCAAATTCCCAAAAGGAAATACACTGAGGACACAGGTAGGAGGGGTAGACCTGAAAAGGAGAACTACTCTTTCTCCTGAAAAGGAGAAAAACAAAAAGAGATACTTTAAAGAGGGTACCTCCGTTTTCACATAATAGAAGGCAAGATCATTTATTAAGAAAATGAAGGGTGAATTTAGGAATCGGAAGGTAACATTCAAAGTAAGCACTTAACAAACGTTGTCAAAAAACAGTTAGTTGTTAGGAAGCCTACAATTATAACTACCATTAATCTTAGCATCAACTACTCAAAAATTATTTTAAACATAAAAAATTTGGGGGAGGGGAGATTTAGAGGAGTGGGTAGCAGAACAGATGAAAGAAGAGTGGAAATGAATTAATAAATGTTTTCATCTGGATGATAGGGGTTCACTACTATTCTATTTTGGCTACATTTGAAATTTTCCTACTAAAAAGTTTTTTAAAATGTAAGGAACGCATTTTTTATCACTCTTACTACTAAGAACAAATAAGAATACAAAAGGCAGTTGAATTTCCCTTATTTTTTAATAATAACAAAATTCTTCCCCATCTTTATTTCTTTGGAACTGATCAGTTCTCAAATGAAAACTCTGATACACTAAATTCAAGGATTTCTTTCTCATACAGTAACTCAGGCTTCACAAAATGGAATTTATGATGCCAGATAGGACACAGATAGTGAAAACTAGGTGAAACAATTGCCTAGCAGAGTCAAAATCTTTTTTAATTGACAAAAAATATGAAAAAACCTCCTTTACTTACGTAAGAAAAACAATCCCAGAATTTTGGAAGAAATTGAGGGAATTTATGAAGAATCAATATAATAATCCATTCTATGAAATATTTTATGGATGCTTGATTATTGATAAAAGCAGCCTGGAAAATCTTGTCAATAATTCCACTCAAGAAATTCTGAGGAAAATGAAGTTCACAAATTAAACTTTTTGTTATAGTTATTAATTTAAAAAAAATTTAAAGGTTACAGTTTTAACACAAGCACCTTTTTTATCATTTATTTTCTTGTGGAAAAAATACATATAACATAAAGGCTGCCATTTTAACCACTTTTTACTATACAACTCAGTTTGATTAATTACATTCAGAATGTTGTACAACCACAACCCTTTACGATGTTGAGGAATTTCCCTTTATTCCCAGTTTGTTGTTTTTTAACATGAAAGGGTGTTGAATTGTGTCAAATGCCTTTTCTGCATCGATTGAGATGATCATGTGGTTTTTCTCCTTTGTTCTATTAAAGTGGTACATAACAAAGTTTTTTTAATGTTTAACCACTCTTGCATTCCTAGAATAAATCCCACATGATCATGGTGTTTAATCCTTTTAATATGCTGTTGGATTTGGTTTGCCAGTACTTTGCTGAGGATTTTTACATCTATATTCATAAGGTATACTAGTCTGTAGTTTTCTTTATCTGGCTTTGATATCAAGGTAAAGTTGGCCTCACAGAATAAGTTAGGAAGCGCTCTTCTATATTTTGGAAGAGTTTAAGCAGAATTGGTGTTAATTACTCTTTAACGTTTGGTAGAATTTCCTAGTAAAGCCATCTGGCCAAGGACTTTTGAGATTTTTGATTACTGATTCAAATTCTTCACTTGTTATAGGGCTGTTCAGGTTTTCTGTTTTCATCTTGAATCAGATTAGGATATCAGAATTGTCTAGGAATTTGTCCATTTCATCGAGAGTATATGCTGGCACATAGTTGCTCATAGTATTCTTACGATCCTTTTATTTCTATAGGGTTGGTAGTTATGTCCCCTATTCATTTTTTGTTTCAATTATTTGTCTTCTCTTTTTTTCTTTGTTAGTCTAGCTAAAGATTTGTCAGTTTGAATGATCTCTTCAAAGAGCCAACCTTGGTTTGTTGATTCTATTGTTTTGCTCTTCTCTATTTCATTTATTCCACTCTAATCTTTATTATTCCCTTCCTTCTGTTAGCTTTGAGTTTAGTTTGCTCTTCTTTTTCTGGTTCCTCAAGATGTAAAGTTAGGTTATTGACTTATTTATTCCTTTTCAATATAGCATTTATGGCTATAAAATTCCCTCCAAGCACTGCCTTTGTTGCATCCTGTAAGTTTTGGTGTATTGTACTTCCATTTTCATTCATCTGTAAGTATTTTCTAATCTCCCTTGTGATATCTTCTTTGACCCATTAGTTTAACACTGTGTTGTTTAATTTCCACATAGGTGTGCATTTTCCCATTTGCTTTCTTCTATTAAAGTCTGGTTTCATTCTACTGTGGTTAAAGAAGATTCTTCATATGATTTCAAACTTTTTAAATTTATTGAGCCTTATTTTGTGACTTAACGTATGGTCTATTCTGGAGAATGTTCCATGTGCATTTGATAAAAGTATATTCTGCTACTGGGGTATTATATATGTCTGTTACATCTACTTGGTTATACTGTTGTTCCGATCTATTTCCTCGTTGATCTTCTGTCTAGATGTTCTATCCATTACTGAAAGTGGTACAATGAAGTCTCCAACTATTATTGTAGAACTATTTCTCCCTTTAGTTCTGTCAGTGTTTGCTTCACTTACTTTGGAGCATACGTCTTCTTGATGAATTAGCCATTTTATCAATATACAATGTTTTTCTTTGTCTCTTTAACAGTTTTTGATTTAAAGTCTGCTTTGCCTGATAATAGTATAGCCACACCGGCTCTCTTTTGGTTGCTATTTGCATGGATTTTTTTCCCCATATTTTCACTTTCAACCTATTTGTGTTTTGAATCTAAAGTGATCCTCTTGTAGACAGTATGTAATTGAATCATGTGAATCTAAAGTGATCCTCTTGTAGACAGTATGTAATTGAATCATGTTTTGTTTTTTTTTTTAAATCCATCTGACAATCTCTGCTTTTTAATTGGAGAGTTTAATCCATTTATATTTAAAATAATTACTGATAAAGACTTATTCTGACACTTTGCAATTTGTTTTTTGTTATGTCTTAAACCTTTTCTGTCCTGCATTTCTTCCATAACTGCCTCCTTTTGTGTTTAGCTGATTTTTTGGGTAGTGAACCATTTGATTCCCTTCTGATTTCCTTTTGGATAATACATTTAGAGTATTTTCTTTGTTGTAACCACATGGATTATGGATTATATTTAACATCCTAAATTTATAACAATCTACTTTGAAATGCCATCAACTTGAAAAGCATTTAAAAAAAAAAACTGCCCCTATACCGCTCCACACCCTTACATGGTTGTCATCACAAATTACATCTTTATACACTGTGTGCCCAATAACATAGATTTACAAATATGTTTTATGCATTTGTCTTTTAAAAAATGTAAGACATAAGTGAAGTTACAAATCAAAAATACAATAATACTGGCTTTTATATTTACTCATGCAGTTACCTTTATCAGGGATCTTTATTCCTTCACATGAATTTGAGTTATTGTCTAGTATCCTTTCATTCCCACCTGACCAAAACCAAATCCAAACCCAAACCCACTGCCGTCAAGTCGATTCTGACTCATAGCGAACCTTCAGGACAGAGTAGAACTGCCTCATAGTGGTTCCAAGGAGTTCCCACATGAAGGACTCCTTTTAGCCTTTCTTATAGGGTAGGTCAAGCGGTAATGAATTCCCTCAGCTTTTATCGGGGAATGTCTTAATTTTGCCCTCATTTCTGAAGGGCAGTTTTGCCAGATATAGAATTCTTGGTTGACACATTTTTTTCTTTGAATACTTTAAATATATCATCCCACTGCCTTCTGGCCTCCATGGTTTCTGATGAGAAATTAGCTGTTAATCTTATTGAGAATCCCTTGTATGTGACAACTCGCTTCTCTCTTGCTGCTTTCAAGATTCTCTTTTATCTTTGGCTTTTAACAATTTTACCATGTATCTCAGTATGGATCTCTTATGAGTTTTCCTACTTCAAATTCACTGAACTTCCTGAAATGTGCAGATTCATATCTTTCATTAAATTTGAGAAGTTTGGGGGCATTACTTCTTCAAATGTTCTTTCTGCTCCTTTCTTTCCCTATTCTTCTTCTGGGACTCCCATAATACATGTATTGGTCTGCTTGATGGTGTCCCACAGATCCCAAGGCTCTGTTCACTTTTCTTCATTCTTTTTTCTTTCTGCTCTTCAGACTGGATGGTATCAGTTGTTCTGTCTTCAAGTTCACTGATTCATTCTTCTGCCGGCTCAAATCTGCTGCTGAACCCCTCTAGTGAATTTTTAACTTCAGTCTTGTACTTTTCAGCTTCAGAATTTGTTTGGTTCCTTAATATCATATCTCTTCATATATATTCTCATTGCCTTCACAAATCATTTTCCTGATTTCCTTTAGACTTTTATCCATAGTTTCAATAGGCTCTTCGAGCAAATTTAAGACAGTTGTTTTAAATTCTTTGTCTAGTAAGTCCAATGTCTGGGCTTCTTTAGGGAAGATTTCTCATTTCCCTCCACTTTGAATGGATCATACTTCCTTGTTTCTTTGTATGCCTTGTGATTTTTTTGGTTGAAAACTGGACATCTGAAATATTATGATGTAGTAATTCTGGAAATCAGATTCTCAGCACTCCCTAGGGTTTGCTGTTTGTTTTTTATTTGTTGAAGGCTGTTTGTTTAGTCAATTTTCCAAACTATTTTTACAAAGACTATTACCTGTTGTGTGAGACCAATGAAGTCTTTCTCCCTTTAGCTTGTGTTCTGCTAGTGTTTTGACAGTTATTTCCTTGAATACCAGAGTTAAAAACAAACAAAAACCCCACCTCCTCCAGTCAGTGCTGACCAGCTCTGTGCTGGGGCTCTCCTTCAACACTTTGCCAGGCTTGCACTGAGTCTAGGGATCAGCCTCAGGCAAAAGCTTAGGGTCTTATCAGGTCTTTTCTGAGCATATGTCTTACATTGAACATATGTGTGGCTTTCTAAATTCACCCCACATGTACAGGTGCTGCTGAATACCCTAGTTTCTCAAAGAAACTCTCCCAGTTATTCCTCACAGACTTTAGGTGGTCTACTCTATGTCACAACTATCATCTTTTGCCCCAGGCGTCTGCAGGTTGTTTGTCTGCCTTAGAATGTTTTTGAGCAGTGCATGCTGCTTTTTGAGCAACACATGCTGCTTTTTGAGCCTGACTGAGATGGAGTCAGTGAAACAGAGACAAGCACCTTGTATCTGTCCTTCAGGTAACCCCCAGGCAGGTTAGAGCTCTGCTCCCTCAAAAAACAGGCAGTAGGGTCCCATATTGGGAATGAGGGCTGCTGTCTTGAAGACTGTAGCTGAGCTGGGGAAAGGGCAGGGGCAAAGGCAAGTAAAAACATCACAAAGCTTCCCTACCATTTTTCAGTTTCCTTTTTCTTTATCTTGCGTTTGTTCAGTTGCTGTAAACCTTCAGCTGCTTTCCAGATTTCTGACAAAGTTGGTTATAACAATTTTTGCTTGTTTTTTGATGTTTCTATGGTGGAACATGAACTTGGAGCTGCCTACTCTACCATTTTGTTGACTATCACTCCCTTTTATAAGTAACTCTTGAATCTGTAATTCTCCAAGCAACCACCTTAAAAACTGTTTAATGAAACATAATGATGAAGTAATTTTACTGAGTACTTTACATGAACCATCTCCTTTAACGCTGATATCAATTCTATGAGGAAGCTATTATTATCCATACTTTTACAGGAAAAGATAATGACCCAGATAATCTGAATAATTTACTCAAAGTCACATAGCTGGCAAATAGCATAATTCAGATTCAAACCAAGATCTCCCAAGATGCCATGGCTTAAAACTTGGAACAATGGATGAAACAGATGCTAAAGTCAGCAGAAGATTAACAAAATAGGATAGGAGCAGGTCCTGCTACTTACCTTGTCTTTTCAGATGGCTTGTCCACCTTCCCTTACAATTTCTCCAGCCCCACTGTTATCACTGCTTTCCTTTTGGCTAAGATTCTGAGTTCCAAAATTACCCTTTTCTTCCCCTATCCTTCTCTTCAAAATTGAATTCTACCTGAGAAACTGAGCATATCTAAACAGCAAGTAAGAAGCAAAATCTAGTTATATAAACATATAAGTAAATAATATGTATATAAATGTATACATATGTGTATATATATGTATGTATATAATTTAAAGAAGAAAATCTATCTTAAAAGAATTCCTAATTGACAGAAGAACAGTTCATTTTAGACCCCTGAGACAGAGGTGTAAAGTAGAGCAAGAATTTTAGAGTTAGATGTGGTTTTGAATTCCATCTCTACCATTCACTAGTGTGTTACCTTACAGGCAGGTTATCTAACTTCTCTTCACTGAGTGTCCTTATGTGTAAAGTGGAAATATTTATGGCCTGCTTTGAAAGATTGCAATGAAAATTATGAAAACTGTAAGACTAGTTTTTCTTCTTCCTTTTAGGCTGTGCCTGCTCTGACATTTCCCTCCACCCTCTCCAATATGAGTTTTCTCTCTGGGGGGCCTCTCCCCTCCAAAACAAGAAAAGAAATACTCTCAGTAACCTTAAAACATTTCTAAAATGTTTCTTTTTTTAAATGCGTTTTAATGTTTACCAAAGTATAGCAACATAATATTTTAAAAATATTATTAAAAGGCCTATAATGGAAAACAGCAGCCCCTGCCACACATCCACTACTCTCCAGAAGTAACTCTTGTAGCTATTTTCTCTTAAATTTATCCAAATAATCTATTTCCATAATATACTTGGACTGCTACCAAAATGCTTTTTCTCTCATCTACAGGTATAAGGCTTTATAAAGTCATAATAAAAAAGAGATTGATACATTTAAAGAAATCTCTCAAACATTTAAAACAGGGTGGAGTGGAAAGTAGGAAACTCTAAACACTGAGGGAATTTACATTTAAAATATTTTAAACCTCGTTCTTCCCCAAAGAGACCCTATCTTGTTTCTGTACCTCAGCAGATGCCAGTTTCTTATACATCAATTATGTTTCCTGGGAATGAGCAACATGGTAGGGAGCTGTATGAGGCAGAGGAGCACTGGAACCAGAAGTTAGGCCCCTGGTGAGAGGACAGGCTCCACTGTGATGCTTACAGGTTCCTGGACAATTTCCCTTCCAGGTCTCAGTTTCCTCCTCTGTAAAATAAGCAGCTAAGGCCCAACAATCTTTAGGGCCCTCTGGTGTGACAGATCACTTTTATATGGCCTTTCTCACCATGGTCTTGTTACACCCGCCAAACAACTGGGTGGGACTATGAAAATAAGGTGCTTGTGGCCCACCAAGGAGATTAGACAGTTTGCTAATAATGCAAATAAGGTACGTGGCACCATTGTCAGGGTGGGACAATGCAAATGAGGTGTACAGAACTGTAACGAGGGGATGGTAAGTTCTGCAATCCCTCTAAGCTTAAAGTGAGCCAGCCCAGAGGCAGAAAGTCGGGACCTCACTACCACAAAGAAGAGATGGTAGTGGAGTGCATTCTTTGGACCTGGGGTCCCTGTGCTGAGAACCTCCCAGATCCAGGAGACAGAGAGAGCTGTTACACCAGAGATAATGCAACACAGCAAGAAATGGCATCAGAGAAACAGTGGCAGAAAAACCAGGAAACTGGAATGAAATAATGCAGTGGGTTTCCCGGCCCACAGAGCAAGGTGGTTTCAGTGGGTGTGCTGACCCAGAGTGAGACAGCTGAGTGCCTTTGGGCAGGAGGCTTCCTGGCAGAGTGGGGTGCTTCCAGGCACTTGCTGGTGAAGCTAGGCTTGCTGACCCATGGAGTGAGAGAGCTGAGTGCCTTTGGGCTGAGGCTTACCGGTGGAGTAGCATGCCCCTAGACATTTACTGGTGGAACTAAATAGCTTTGTAACACTTGCCTGGGCAGGGCAGAGCCGAGGGGCGGAGGGGCCAAGGGCCAGAGAGAGGCCTGCCTGTGGGCACGGCTGAGATGAAGCTATCCTGATCGAAGAACTGTATCCTGAGTCATTCCTGATCCAGAATTGTAACGTGCTACTTCCCTAATAAACCCCATAACTGTGAATATGGTCTGTGAGTTCTGTGTGGCCACTGCAATGAATTATCAAACCCAGCAGAGAAGTAGAGTGCCATGGGAGGGGTGACTGCCGTCAGAATTGGTAAAAAGGTTGGAGGGTGGAGGTATGTCTGACCTCCACTTCATAGCAATCAGCAATGGGCTGGTAATGCTGATAATAATTCTCCTCCCCCATTGTGAAGTTAGGCAAGGGGGTCTGACACTGCTGCCACACCATTTTTATAGGCCCTTTGGGAGTAAGGGAAGTCAGAGGCTAAGGAGACTGGAGAAGGTGGCCAGGGTCACTTGGGTCTGATCAACAGTGAGGTTCACAGCTGAGGTCCACACCCACTCCGTGTTCGGCAGTGTCCCTGCTCGCTAAAGGAAAACTCCCGACGATTTCCTGCAACTTGTAACTCCTCCAACCCTTGTGGCTTTGCAACAACAACAAATTATTTTTACTATAATAACTATAAAAACAACCCTTTGCTTTAGAGTTTAAGGTACTTTCACATTCACTCCTCATTTTACAAATGATAAAACTGGTCCCAGAGAGGTGGGATTACTTGCTCCTAGCTAGGTCTAGATTAAACTGAACCCCAGTTTAGCTGCCCAAAATGCAGTGTGGCAACTACTGAATAAGGAGGTAGTTTGGGGAGAAGGGAAATAGAGGGTATGAGAAAGAAAGAAAAAAAATACTTAAATCATATATTGATTTAATATACTTAATTTTCCACCAGGTCTGATGTAAATGTTTCCATCAAGAGGTGCATTCAGAATGTAATAAACTATTGCACAAACATTAGAAAAAAAATACTTTGAAAAACTGCACTAGTCATAAACCATCACTTTCTCATAATGATGATCTCTTAGCAGGAATACTATGCAAAGATGGCTAGAGAGGTTACACAGATGGGCCACTCAGCTGTTCCTTGCCTCTTCACGGAGCAGAAAAGGAAACTTAGGATAAAGAGACTCTGCTGTAAGACAGAGAGATCTTGGCCTTTCCTTAGCTGGTTTATATGGCCATGCTAGTCATGAAATTGGTAGCAAAAAAATCAAGCATGGGAAATAATAATCCAAATGATGCAATTTGTATGGTTTCTGGAGTACAGAGATAATCCAAAACACTAACACTCCAAAATAACTTAGTGATGGATAATTAAGAATCAAGTATTTATGTTTTCTATTCAAATTATATATGAGACTTTACACAGTTAAAATGTTACATTAAAATATTAAAGGGAAAAACTGCTAAATGGGGCATGTAAATCAGCTTCCAATTTATTTCTACAATGCTTAATTGCTTTATTTAGTATTCCTTCCATTAAAAAAACTTCTGAATAACTTCATTTTAGGTATTAAAGTTGGTACAAAGGCAAATTAATAAATTTTAAGCAGAACTAGTTTCTCAATCTTAAAACAGCACAACAGTTTCTACAAAATAATTTACTCATATGAAAACATTATGCTTAAATATAATAAACATTATACCTGATCAAATTTGGGGAAAAGTACAAGCAGAGTCTGCCATATTCGGTTTTTCACTCTGTGTTGTAGAGAATTCACATAGTAGCGAGTTCTTGACTTGGACACCAATTCATCCTGGGGGAATCAATACTAAATTACCTACTCTTGTGATTAATGAAAACAAAATTAATGATAATTTTAAATATAGAAGGTTTGAATTGGGCATTAAAAAACAAACAAACTAAATGCATTGCCATCGAATTCATTCAGACTCATAGCAACCTGGTAAGGACAGAATAGAACTGCCCCATAAGGTTTCCAAGGCTGTAAATCCTTATGGAAGTAGACTGCCACATCTTTCTCCCAAGGAGCAGCTGGTGCGTTCCAACCGCCAACCTTTCGGTTAGCAGCCGGGCGCTTTAACTACTGCACTACCAGGGCTCTGACTTATTAACTGTACAAAATAAAGATAATTTAAAGTAAAATAAAGTATACTTACCTTCCCCAATAGCTTGATTGCAAGATCTTCCATGAACAACTTATGAGACATATTTGAGCCATCTAGTAAACACAAGAATTTGACTGCGCAAATTCTCACATAATGGTCCTCTCTTTCAGTACTAAAATATATAAAATGATAAACTATATTAATACATTTTGAAAATATAAAAATACATCAAAGGTTATTTTAAAAATATCATAACAAATACCCAAACCTCCCAAAGGTTTCTAAAATTATATAGGTCCATTTTTAACGATAATAATTTTTAACTCAGGTAGACAGCAGTAGATAACAAATGAATGTATCAAAAAGGAAGCCTGCCAGAAAGTGTGAATAAGCACAAATTCATCCAGACCTCTGGAAAAATAATGCACATACTACTGATCCTGAGTCAATAATATCTTATCTATGGATAAAACAGACCATGGCACAGGAAACTGTTCTGAAAAGAGGTTCACAGGTATGTCTGTTTGCTCAGGTGGCAAGAAACAGCATCAAACATCTCACTGGTACATTTTTTCATCTACTATAAATGCACATTCTCCAAACCAAGAACAAACCGGGACTATGGGCCCAGAAGCTTTGTGTGCCCTGAGCAACCCAGAATTTTCAATAACCAAAGGTGAAAAGAAAAATCATTAATAAGTATTCCCACTTTTAATTATAACTGTTATAATGTAAATAAATGTCCTTTTAATTTAACAACAAAACACTTGTCTAGTAGAAATCAAAGTATTTGGGAACCAAAAACTAGAAAATCTTCAATTTTACTGTAACACTAAACCAGCCACCAACACAAAAACATCAATTTACAATGAAAATATGTATATATTTACTGAAGAATGGCTTTAAAACAAAAGTAGGACTCTCAGAATAATACTTTGTGATAGCTATACACGATAATCATTTATTGTCCTAAACTCTAAAATAAAAATGAAAAATACAACATTATTTATTATCTTCATTATAAACAAACATATACATTTTTGAAAGCTATGTGAAAAAATAAGACTTTTTAAGAGCTATTTGACAAGCTTCCCTCCACAAAAAATTCGGAGGTTAAATATTCTAGAAGTCAAGATTTGAGAACCTGTTCCAAGAATAGCTACTTTTGTGTGTAACATACTGACTTGTCACAGTGAATTTTTATTATATAGTAAACTTTATAGCCAAAAAGGATTAAAGAATAAAATGTACTGATGATTACCCCCAAGAAAAAGGAAAGGGATAGGAGTTTTCCTCATTTATGTTTGGTTTTATGCTGAAAATTTTAAATTTTATAAAATTTTACTAAATAGTGATGGATCTGAAGAAAATATATTAGCAAGGGAATATAATTTCTAACGTATGTTTGAAAGTTCATTCACTATCTTGTAATAGATTAGTAAGTAATCTATTACAGTAAACATTAAACTTAATAAACACAGAATTGCTCCTATATGTTAAATTTTTAACATTCCATTTTTATTAACTCAATAAAAAGCTATCATACTTACTTTTCAATAACAATGTTTGCTGCACATTGATGTCCAAGATTCTCTATGAAGGTCTGTACATCCTGAATAAGTCTTTCCATAAAAAAGCATTTGATAAAGAACAACAGGTATTAGAAAAGAAATAAAAGCCCCAAAGTTAAAACTAACTAACATTTTATATTCTTCTAATAGAATGCCTCAAAACAAAGAGACATCATTCTACCCAACTAGGTACTTGATATAAGTTATGATAGGTTGAAATAATGGCATTTTTTTTTACCTTTGATCACGCCTAAACACAGTTCCAAATATACAAGCCTCAAGGACAAGTTCACTATAATTTTTAGCACTTGATAAAGAACCTTGGGACACATTTGAAGCAGAAACTATCCATGATTGGCAGCAGTAATTTATCAGCGTATTGAAGACTCCAGTTTTTATAGCAGACATTTCAATTATCTTATACATAATCTGGAATAAAATACAATGGTCATTTTAGCGTTTGACCTATTTAATTAAAAAAAAATTAATGTAGCTAAAAACTGTTACTTGAATAGCCTTAAATGATAATTTTGACACAATCATGAATCGAGTCTAAAGTATAATATCCTTTCTTGTTACTGTAACTTTACAAGATGATCAATAGCCACAGAATGCTAATTTTTCATTTCTCAGCAGTAAAAAATAAATAAAATTTTACTGATAGTGATATTTAACCAAAACTCTCCAAGAGAAACAATTGTCCAAAGTAATAGAATAAAAAGAAGAAAAAGCACTTCACATTTTACCATTTTTAGTTTTTCTTTGCATCCCACCAATGGCCTCCCTTTCCCTGAGGAAGCAAAAACCAAGGTCTCTAAGCATGCACTGTGGGGCAGAAAAGACTGAGACAGGTACAGCAGCACAGCAGGGTAAATACAAGGATTTCGTTTTCTGTTTTCCCCTTTGCATAGGAAGCATACTTGAATTCCTAGGCATGATGTAATTCCATCATATGCTATGTTCCCCCACTGCATCAGTGGCTGCATATTTAAATGCCTCCAGAAACCACAAAGACCTTTTGATAAGAGAAATCTTATATTCAGGGAAATATTTCTCTGTATAAGAAACATAGCAGAGGTACAATAATAAATGGCAACTGCTATTTGCCTTTAGTGTCAAGGAGAAACCAAGGAATGACTGTGGAGACTACAGAGAACTGGGAAGGGCAGACCCTACCTAAATGGGCCAGCTTCTATTCCATTCCAGGAGACAATCGTCATGTAGGAATCACGAGTGCTGCCAGATCATCCAATTCTCCAAGAGAAGGTGCACTCCCAATTTTCACACAAATTTCCCAATTCTTAAGAGGTGGCAACTAATTCAAAATTTTAAGCATTGTATAAACCAAACAAAATATGTTTATGAGCCACATGTGGCTCATGGATACTGGTTTATACCTTCTCTTTTACATCAAATAGATTTTCTTGTCCTTACTCATGACGTTGAAGAATGTTAAAAAAGTACTGGTTGATTGAATGAATAAACAACAACAAATCTAATATTTAGTTACAAATATACATCTCTTCTTCCTTATTTACCACAGGTCACAAAAAAAATAAAACAAACAAAAGTTACCTCTTTTATTTTGAAATATGCCTGGCCCTTGATTTTTGCAGCAATGGTAAGAACTTTATTATCAAAAACAAACTGAACAAAGGCTTTTAAATTAGACCAGAATATCAGCTGAGTGTTGCTTAAAGAAGAAATGATTTTCCAGGCCATGTCAAAAGACTCCATGCAGAGTGACTCACAGGAGGTCAGAAGCTGGTAGAAAAAAGAGAAAGAAAGACACAGTCATTGCTTAAATCTAGAAACTTTTATTGCTGCTCCTACAGTTATTCTCCAATTCATGTCTCACTATATCTTACCTTGGGAACCAAAATTCTCATGCACTGGAACACAGGTAAAACTTGATCAGAAGGAAGAATTGTGAGGGCTTCTAATGCAGATTGCAAAGTCTTTATTGGCATTTGAACAGCAGGTAGAAAGGGTTCCAGAATTTCACTCTCTGTGGTTGGTATAAGGGTGTGGTATTTTTTCAGTAGGAAAGAGAGGCAAACCCACTGATCATGGACGTATTGTGCAACTATTTTTCCCCATCCTTGGGAAGATGATGATTCTTCAAAAAAACTGAAACAAAAAATAACATGACTACCCCATACTTCCTCAAGGTTGTCTCAATTTCTTTTGCATGTACTGTACCATCCTTACAAAAGGAAAAAAACAGATATAAAGGTCACTATCACGTATCCACCAAAGAAAAAAAAGGAAATCACATAAACCTAAATTTTCTAACTACCCTGAAAGTAGGTATCTTCACTCACCTTAAATGATTCACTGAAAACTAAGTGCAGAAAATTACCAGGTTTCTGGTAACAGAGAGTAATAATGTAATAATCATTATTATCTTGAATGGAGCACCCTCTCCAAAATTCCATAATAGTGGGCAGTTGCTAATTACTTCAAAGACTAAAACAAAAACGAATTTTTTTTAAATGAGCAATAAAGATGCCTTTCCTGTGCATGCTGCATTTCAAGGGTGAACATACCTGCTCTGCTCTTCTGTGTGGGGCTTCTGTAATGTCTGATTGAGCTGAAGAGAGGACAGGAACCTCTCCATGGGCCCAGCATCCAGCGAATCAAGCTGCAGCTCTGGCTTCTGATCAATGGCCTCACACACCATGGCCAAAGCAGCCATACTAACCACTTTCTGAATCTGTCTACCAAGTGCTGGTTCCTGAGAAGGAAATATAACAATTCTTGATTTAACATAAGTAATTCTTAACTAGTAAGGACTCCAGCTGCCAACCTATAGAACTCATGCCCACCTATTCCCTTTTTTTGCCTGCTACTGGATATCAGAGGAAACAAAAGAGAATCTGACAAAACTCATTCCGTTTTACCACTTCTCTACAGATCTGATGAAAGACTGGAGGTAAACAAATTTAAAGTGGCACTAAAAAACTCAGCAATTCAGACGAAGAGGATAATGTGATCTCTTCATTCAGCAAGTAGGTTCCGAAAACTAGTACATGACAAACCAGCTACAAACAGAACCCAAAACTGTATGTGAATAAGTACTTCTCAACTTTTTCTTACTTATCTGCATACAACATTCCTAAGGGTAAGCCTTATTTTAACTGTAGGGCTGAAGCATGTTTAAGAAGGAAAAAAAGGCTCTGGGTTATAAATAATTCCTTGAAATCAGCCATAACTCTACTTTTGGAGAGGCAACATAGCATAGCAATTATGAACATGTACTCTGGCATCATCTGGCCTAGGTCTGAATCCTGGCTCTGCACTCACTGCCAGTATGACTGCGGACATACTGGGCCTTAGTTTTCTTATCTGTGAAATGGGAATGTTAATAACCATAACAGAATCTACTTCATAGAGCTATTGGGAAGATTAAATAAAAGGGTTATTTCACATAAAGCACTTGGAACTCTACATGTAAGAGTACAAAGCAGGGGTAACCAAGACAGCCTGGGTTCATACTTAGAGAAAAATAAACTCTAACCAAGGAGCTAGGAGTACTGGCAAGACCCCTAAAAACCAATAAAAGACCAAAGTGGTTCTCTCAATATTACTAACCAGTAATATGTTTTCCAAAAGGGAACTTTACTTACTCTATACCTTCCCCTGGCCCTCCCAAAATAAATCAAGTAAGAATCTCTACAGATAAATTTTACATAGCAATACTGCCAACATAGGAAATAAAATTTAGTGTTACCCTGAAGGCAACTATGGCCCCTGTTAACCTGAATGTAATTCAGTGAATTACTAAAGAAAACAAGCCCATTTTTAAGAATAAAAAAACATCCCAGGGAAAAGGGCTAGAAACAGGAGGGGACAGGAAAGCTGGTAATAGGGAACCCAAGGTCGAGAAGGGAGAGTGTTGACATGTTGTGGGGTAGTTAACCAATGTCATAAAACAGTGTATGTACTAACTGTTTAATGAGAAACTGTTTGTTCTATAAACCTTCACTAAAATACAATTAAAAAAAAATTACTGTGGCATGATTCATAAATTTGTTCTAATCCAAAGCTCATAATGTTCTTTCCTAACAATAATAGACTAATAGGTACTAGAGAGGATGCTGACATGTTAACAAGTCCTCTTTATTGTTTCCCTTTAGGAGAGCCCTCGAAAATTACTCTGTAATTTGTTTTTATTAGCAGCCCAGAATAGTTATGATTCAATTCAACTTTACTAAACACTTACCATGTATTAAATGAAAACAGCTAACATTTGTTGAGGACTCTCTATGGGCCAGGCAATTGTTCTAAATATTTAACACGTATGAGCTTGTTTAATTCTCACTCAACCCTATACTTCCCAGTTGCAAATGTGGTAAATGAGGCACAGAGAGGCAAGTAATTTCCCCCAAGGCCACATGGTTAGCAATAGTAAATCCAGGATTCAAACCTAAGAAGTCTAACTCTGAAGCCTGTGCTCTTAACCACTACGCCTCATTGCATTATGTTTAAGAAATGCCTCCAGGTGCTAAAAGCTAATGGAGAAGACATATTCACATAAAGTACTCCAAAAACAAACAGGACAGAAATAAACACTCTAACAGAGGCATGAAGAGCAACAGGAAAAGAGGAGGCCCGTAAGAGAAAATGTGATTAGAGTTGGCCCAGACACTGACAAATGCATATTGGAAAGGAGGGTATTCTTCATGCAGGGACCAGACTGAGATGTACTTGCGACCTGTGGCAGTCTGGCATGACTGTGGCTGGGCAGCAGTATGGGAAGGAGGTGAGGAGTGGAGGACTGGGCTAGAAAATTACGTAGAAGTAAAGTACAGAGGGCTCTGGATACAAGTCTGATGAATTTAGTCACATTAAAGTGACTGTATCCCTTACTGGTACATGGCAAAAAACCCAGTATAAGTCAATTACCTGTATCTAAATGATTTTGAGATTGAAGTCACCACAACTGTTATATATTTAATACTATGAGAGGATTCCCAATCCTGATCAAATCTTATCACCAAAGGGTATTATTTTAAAAATCAAATTTTAGCAAATGTTTTTTATAATATCAAAATATTGTATAACAACTTAACATGTATGCCATGCAAGGCTTACTCAAAAAACCACAAAAGCTTGAGTCCAGGCTGATTACCTGCCCAGTGCTCGTCTCTTGAAGATGCCGAATGGATGCATTTTTCAAAGGAGAAATCACTCTCCAAATGGGGTTACCCCTTTTCCACTCAATCTTCAGATTGACATTTATAAGCTCAGTTAATACCATCAGGTATAAATGGCAACGATCCAGATCTGAAACCTAAGACAAACATTAAAATATTTAACGGTATAAGCAGGGTACATGATTTTCACAAAGCTATTAAGGGTTGAGGCAAGAGACAAGTTAAAGTACTAAAACAGGGTATTTATGAGATAAAAAGTCATTTCCTCCAAGAAGCCTTCTATAATTACCCCATGCAGAGCTACGGGTATCCTTCTCATGGCTTACACAATGACTTTACATTCAGTACAGTTATAGCACTTATCATAATTTACTCCTCTGTCTTCCACCTAGACTGTGAGACCCCGGCAGGCAGAATCATGTTCTACTAATTCTTGGATCCCACTGCTAGCACTTTATAAATAATAACAACTACAGCAATTATCACTTCTTCTTTGTTTACAACATTCAACTCTCACAAGGAAGTTTATGGTCCCACTCTCCTAATAAGGAGACTAAGTTTCAGAGAGGTTAAATAACTTGCCCAAAGTCTCACAGTTAGTAAGGGGGAGAGACAAGTTCAATTCAGCTCTATCACTCACCAGCTCTGTGACCCAGGGCAAGTTACTATCCCCTTCAGGCCTCAGATTCCTTATCCATAAAACAGGAATAGTACCCATTATAATGTGTTCAAAAGAGTTGAGAAAGTATGTTAAATCTTTAGCCCAGTAACTGGCATTAAGTGTTGTTCTCAATGGCAATTGGTTTGGCTTTTGGTTTTATAGTAAGATGCCTCCTTATGGCAGACAGAAAACACTTAATTCATTAATTTAATCAGTTTTCACTCAGCAGTCACTATATGCCAGGCACTCTGCAAGGTGCTAGGATGTAATGTGGCTATAAGGTAAAAATTACAGGGTTTGGTGATAGATTGAACATAGGGGGTAAGAGTGACAGATAAAGGTGCCAGGAGTTCTTGGCTTGAGAAACTGGTTGGATGATACATTCACTAAGAAGGACAACCTGGAGGAGAACCCAGAGAACCTGTTTACAGAATTAATGATAAATAGTTCAGTTTTGAATAGGGTAATTTTGAGGTAAATGTGAGAAATTTAACTCCAGTTATCAAATAGAAATTGGATGAACGGGTTTGAAGCTCAGAAGACAGGTCAGAGGTGGAGAGAGAAATGTGAAAGTCACTGGCATAACTTAAGCTATCCTACGGATGTGGATGAGATCACCTAGACACAGCTAGGGAAGGGAATGGGAAGAGAAGGGGCGCATGCCAAGTCTGGAAAAGCTCCAACTTTAAAGGCTAGAGACTACAGAATGAACATTCAAAGGAGAAATGGAGGTAATGGCCAGAGAGATGGGAGAAAAACCAGGAGAAGATGATGTCATAGGAGTTAAAAACCAAAAAAAAACCAAACCCCTTGCCATTAAGTCAATTCCAACTCATAGCGACCCTACAGTGAAGCTAAGGAGAGGTAGTCTTTCAAGGAGGACATGATCGGCAGTGTCCAATGCGGCCAAGGAGTGAAGAAAAACAAGGTCCCAAGGTATCCACTGGGTTGATGACAGAGGAGCCACTGACAACTTTTTAGAGAGAGCAACTTGTGTGTCATGATGGAGGTAGAAGCCAGATTAAAAACAGGGTTGAGGAAACTGTTTACAGATAGCAATACTATAGGACAGAACAGAACTGCTCTATAGAGTTTCCAAGGAGTGGTTGGTAGATTAAACCTGCCAACCTTTTGGTTAGCAGTCAAGCTCTTAATCACTAGGCCACCAGGGCTCCATAGACTAGCTTCAGAGAAGGAAATGGAGTGCTACAGGAAACATGGAATTGAGAGAGTGTTCTTTTAAGATGAGAGACTCTTTAAACAGGTTTAAATGCTCATGAAAATAATCCAGTAGAAAAGGAAAGATTGGATATACAACAGAGAGGATAATCAAAAAGTTCTTGACATGGAAGAGGCTCAAATCCAGATTGCCTTAATCTATTGTTAACAGGGAAGAGAAGGAGAACGGATTCAGGTGTGGGTGAGTGAACAGGGTGAGTTTATACATTTGATAGTTAGAAATCAAGCACATTCCAGCATGATGGCTACTATTTCTTCCGTGAAGTGAGAGGAGAGACAGCGATATGCTGGAGCCAGCCTGCACTGCAAAGCCGACTGTTGGTATTCTTTCCAACTCAGTGTCTGTGTTAGTAGCTTGAAGTCAGCCATGGAAACAGGTGCTACAAATCAGGGCTTTTCTTTTCCTCTAGAGAGCATTGACATGAGGGGAAGTACAGAAAGAGATTTTAACTAGAGTTAAACTATCAAACAAAGGTACTTAATTGGGTATTCTACTAATTAATTTATTAAAAACAGTGCATTTTCCAAAATAAAACTATCATATATTGAGTTTACTTTTACAAATGTTTATACAAAACACCAAGCTTTCCCTTTCTTATTTGTAGCCTCAAATTCGAAACAAACAAAAATATTTGTTATATGATGGGTACATGGGGGCTCATTATATTTCTTTTATGTATGTTTGAAAATTTACATAATAATAAAGGTAAAATTAATAATGATGATGAAGTGATACTGGAGCAAAAGCATAAACAAAAACTGTTACTTCTTTATTAAATGTCTTCTTGACAACTAGGTGTACCAAAACTAATATTAACAATTCCTTGATAAGAAGTAAGGAAACTAAAGATAAACACTTCCGACCTCAGCGGGTTTTTTTTTTTTTTTTTTTTTTAATTTCCTTGCCTCTCTATGATAACACCTGAAGTCTTTCAGTATAAAACCTCTTTTTAGATTTCCATACCGGCTTACTAGCTATCAAACGAATGTACTTAACTGGGTTAATAAAAGTTCTAAAATATATTTTCTCATTTTATTGACAATGTAATCATTCTAATTGCTTCAACATTTGTCCCTAGAGATTTCAACAGAAAAAAAAAATTGAAGAATAACAGACATTTCTTTAAGAACTGGTGTTTCAAAATAGTTATGAAAAAAGGGGAAGACTTTATTAACTTTTCTTGGATGTCTTGGAAAGGACAAATTATGTGGTGAGTAGTAGAGGGGGTAGGATGGCTGCACTCACAGAGCATTCTCTATACCTCAGACCTATTGTTCTCAACCCTGATTGCATTTCAGAATCACTTACAGAGCTTTAAAATATATATATTGATACCTAAGCCTCATCTCAAACTTACCAAATCAGAATCACTGTATATGGGGCCCAAAAGTACACTGAGCATGCTAAATACTTCAAATAAACACTTCAAACCCAGGAAGAGACACTATTATCTCCATTTTGCAGATGAGGAAACTGAGGCTCAGAAAAGCTAATTGACTTGTCTAATGTCACAGTTAATAAATAGATAGAATTGGAACCTAGGTTCCATGACGCCAAAGCCTATGCTTTTTCTGCTTCCTAAGGCTGCTTCTTGAAAAAAGTAACACACTAAAATAATTTTTCTTTTCAACTTAAAACAGTGCCTGCTAATTCAGTAATAACTCAAATATTGGTGAAAAGAATGAATGAAAAGTTATTCCAATGAATACTTACACTACTTAGCTCATTCATAGTAAGTCTCCTGAGAATAAATTCAGAAATGCTCTCCGTAGTAGACATAACAAAATTCTGAAGAAGTGTAAACACTTCATCTGTATGGAAAGAAAAGTATGTAACTAAAAATGATAGAAATAAGCTCTTTGGTACAACACACAAGATAGCCTAATAAAAATACAACTATGTTAAGTACTTGGGGGAATCACTTACCAATAAAGGATTCCAAAAATATAGTAATCATTAATACTGTGGGGGAATCCATAATTACTCTTCCTAAATATAATTTGAAAGCTCTGCTTCTGGGTAAGATGGAACAGGGACATACCACCCTCTCTCACTGAATACAACTATAATACCTGGACTGAAGGCATAGAGAAGCTATTCGAGAACTCTGAAAGGAAACAGGCAGATTCAAGGAAGATCAGAATATGAAGTAACACTGAACAGCGACGGGCTTACTAATTTTATTCCCTCTGATCCTCCTGCAGATTGGAACCAGATGCAAGAGGAGTCACAAAACTGGGCAGCAGAATGGGTAACCAAAACCTCAACTTTCTGACCAGAGGATCTAAAAGGAGAGCCACAGGGAAGCAGACAGTGAGTACTGAGGAGAAGGAGGAGCTCAAAAAAACAGCTGCAGATATTTGTATATGAACTCCTTGGTTTACCACCCACCACGTCACCACTAAAGTGTACATGCATGAATCTCATACTAAATAACATATCAAAGACTTTCAGAACTGAACTAACAAGGAGACCACTGCTCAGGTCCCAGAATGTCCACTGGAGGAAACACAGGTGGGACAGATCCAAATAGCATGACAAAGGATTTGAGAACGAACCTGACAGTGGTACCAACACCCACAGAAACTGGATTGGAATTTGAGGAATGAATGTAACCAGGTCACTTGCCTGCTAAATAATAATATCAACATTCTCCATAGAATTAAACAAGATCCAGCGTCTCATAAGATAATATTCAAAATAGCTAAGATACAATCCAAAATTACTTGGCATACAAAAAACCAGGAAAATCTCAGCTCACACAGGAAAAGACAACAGATGACAAGCCAAGACACAGAACAATCTAAAAAGACTTTAAAGCAGCTATTATAAAAAATGTTCCAACAAGCAATCAAGAACACTCTTGAAACAAATGAAGTAACAGAAAGTATCAGCAAAGAAACAGAAGTTATACAGAAGAACCAACTGGAAATTTTGTAACTGAAAAGTACAATAACTGAAATTTAAAAAAAAACAAAAACAAAAACAAAACACTGGATAACAGAAAGGAGATGAAAGAGGAAAGAGTGAACCTGAAGATAGATCCCCCCAAACATTATGCAATCTGAACAAGAGAGAAAAATAATTAAAAAAAAAAAAAAACAGAGCCTCAGAGACAACAGAAGATCTAACACTCATGCCATCAGAGTCCCAGAAGGAGATGAAAACAACCGCAGTGCTGAAAAAATACTTTAATAAAAAATGGCTGAAAACTTTCCAAATTTGGTATAAACCTATAGATTCAAGAAGTTCAGGGAACCCCAAAAAGGATAAGGCCAAAGAATTCATGCCCAGACACATAATATTCAAACTAAAGACAAAGAAAAAAATCTTGAAAGAAGAGAAAAACAAAGCATTATTTATAGGGGAAGAGCAATCTGAATGACTGTGGAGTTCTCATCAGAAACCATACAGGCCAGAAGCAAGTGAAAGAACATTTTTAAAGTGCTGAGAGAAAAAAATACATCAACCCAGAATTCTATATCGAGTGAAAATACCCCCCAGAAATGAAGGAGAAATAAAGACATTCTCAGATGAAAAAAACTAAGAGAACTCATTGTAAACAAACCTGCTTTAAACAAATTGCTAAAGCATACCGTTGGGAAATTAGAACATTAAGAATGAAAGAAGAACAACAGAAACTATAAATACCTGGGTAAATGTAATAGATACTTCTCTTGAGTTCTTTAAAATTTGTTTGACAGTTGAAAGTGAAACTTGCAACACTGTCTGGTAGGGTTTTCATAAGACAATTATAACATATTGGGGGGTAGGCAAAAGGACCCATAATGCAGTAAGGTTTCTGTATTCCACTTCAAGTGGTAAGATATCAATACTAAGCACACTGTGAGAAAGTAAGTATATGTATTGTAATCCATAAAAAAAACCATACAAAGACATGTAGTCAAAAACACAATAGATAAATTAAAAATGGAATACTAAATAATGTTCAAATTGCCCAAAAGAGGGGAAATAGAGAAATGAAAAACAGAAAACAAAAAGAATACAAATAATAAATGGCTGACCTAAATCCAAACATATAAATTACATTAAATATAAGTGGTCTATACCAGTTAAAAGACAGAGGGTGTCAGAAGAGATAAAAATTATGAACCAACTATATGCTGTCTATAAGAAATCACTTCAAATACAATGATCTAAATAGGTTAAAAGAAAAAAAAACAACAGAAAAAAATACACCATGGAAACACTAACCAAAAGAAAGCAGAATGGCTACATTAATTACTATCAGGTCCCTTCAACAAATGGTGCTGGAGCAACTGTACCTCCACAGGCAGGAAAATGAACCTTAACTTAAACCTTACACCTTAAAAAAATCAACTCAAAATGGATTGTAAATCCAAAAATAAAATAAAAACCAAAACTTTTCAAGGAAAACACAGGAGAAAATCCTACATAATCTGGGGTTAAGGCAAAGAGTTCTTAGACATGATGTCAAAAACAATCCACAGGACAAAAAAATGATAAACTGTACTTCATCAAAATTAAAGCCTTTGCTCTGCAAAAGACACTGTTAGGAAATTAAAAAGACAAGCTACAGACTGGCAGAAAATATTTGCAAATCACATATTCAACAAAGGACTTGTACCCAGATTATACAAAGAACTACCAAAATACAAGAAAACAATGCAATTTAAAAATAGGAAAAAATTTGAACAGACACTTCAAAAAATGCTTTATTTATCACTCTGAGAAATGTTCATATTTCAACAGATTACATATTCTATTAAAAGTAAGAGCATTAATTTTAAAATCTCTCATTACCTATTATAAAGAAAGCAACACTATATGACTTCTGGAGTATCTGATGAGTCATTTATCAGGTCAAGAAGCCACCAGAAATGGTTGTAAAGAAAATTTTCTACTAAAATATTAAAACTATAACTAATGACTATAAGGACAGACTACTACTCTTTTCTATATTTCATACTACTCTGCTTTTTCTTTCTCCTATATATATCTAATACTCGCCTACTTAAATCTCAAATTTATATCAATAGCATAAAGAAGTATTTACTTTTTCTCAGATACATTCTTTCCCATCAGATCAAAAGAAATTTAAGATTGCAAAGGTTTAGGCCTGGGGAACAGAGAACAAAGTGACATGAAGAAAAAAAAAAGACATTGCTGTCACTTCCAACATTATTATCACTATCATGGTAGTTCCTTTTAATTACCAAAATACAGAAGAACCTCTATTTCACTCTCAACTCAAAGCCCCCATCATTGCCACATCTCTAAATTTAACATCCTATTACAACAATATACACAATGTCTGTAATTGAAGATTGAACCAGGATGGTGTTTATAGTTTTTTCCTACTCTATGCCTCATGTAGTTGATAGAAATAATTCAACCCCAAGTGAAGTGGTACCAAAATTGGTCAAAAAGCTATCTTCATCCACCATCCTCACTCTCTTCCTTCTTTACTATTAGAATAGAACTTTGACATCTACCCATCTACCATCTACCCACCTCCCTGCACTTGCCTTTCTATCGATGCTCCTATCTAAGACCAACCCCTCCACATATGCCCTGGGTCTCATGCATTCTCAACTCTCTTGGACACTACTCAGAAAATCTCCCCTCTTTCTCTCCTACATCTTCAAAATTTCTCTCTACTGAATCATTTCCATCAGCACATAAACACTGATATTCTCCCATCATAAGGAAACAAAGCTTCTCTTGCCCCACCAGCAACTGCCCCATTTCTCTGCTCCCCATACACAAAATGCCTTGAAAGAGCCCTCTAAAGTCAATGCCACCATTCCTCTCCAAGAGTTGCCCCCACCACTGCCCCAACATTGCCTCTGTCAAGATCACCACTGGCTTCCATGTTGCTAAATCCAATAGTCAATTCTCAGTCCTTATTTTAGTCTATCAGCAGCATTGATACAGTTATCATTCCACCTCCCGGAAAAACTTTCTTCACTGGCTTTTAGGACATCACATTCCCCTGATTTTTCTCTTCCGTCACTGTAAATTCCTCTAAGTGTCCTTTGCTGGCTCCTCTTCATCTTGCCAAATCTTCCCAATCTCTAATGTCCCTGTGGTTTGTCCAGAGAGAAGAGTTATATAATGGTGCACATGCAAATGACCACACACCATTCCTGTGTGTCTCATACCGTCCCATCTCATAGAACTCTGCACACATAGTAAAGATTTGGATGTTAGTTTTTCTTGGCTTCCGCAGGTCTATCTGTCTCAGCTGTGATGTGTGATCAGTGGTGTGTGTCTCTCCATCTTTGCCGCTGAAACCCTGGTGACATTGTCTAGTCTCATGGCTTTAAACACCACCTTTATGCTAATGACTGTGAAATTTATATCTCTAGCCCAGACTACTCTGAACTCCAGACTCATACAGTCAAATATCTACTCAACAACTCTACTAGGATAAGTAATGGACACCTCAAGCTTAACTGAACTCCTCATCTTCACTTTAAAACCTTTTCTAACCCCAGTCTTCCTTATCTCAGTAAATGAAGACTCTATCTGCCCATCTGCTCCAAAAATCAAGTAACTTCTGATTTCTCTCTCTCATCCAACTCGACAAGAAATCCTGTCAGCTTTATCATCAAAATACATCCAAAATCTTAACACAACTCATGGCACCCATACCAGCACCTTGGCACAAGCCTAGTGACTTGGGTTCTGGCTTTTGCCCTTGCTCCTCTGTGCTGCTTATTTTCAACACCACAGCCAGAGTGAGCTTTTTAAAACTGAGATCAGACCTTACCACTCCTCAGCTCAAAACCCCCCAATAAAAGCCAGTGCCCTTGCAAAGGCCAACAAAGCCCTACACAGCAGTCACCCTCTCCCCATTACCACTCAGAATTCATCTCTGTCACTGTCCCCCTCACCAGCCTCTTAACTGTTCCTCAAACAGCCTGCACTCACAGGAAGGCCCTCACCTGTCAGTCCCTCTTCCTGGAAGGCCTCTCCTGGATACGTGCATGGCTCCTGCCTCAACCCTTTAAAGTCTTTGCTTAAATATTACCTTCACAGGGAGGCCTTCCCTATTCAACCTAATTAAAACTTCAACCCCCAATGCTGCACACCCCCAACACTCTCTGTCCTGCTTCCTGTCTTGTTTTTCTCGTAGCACTTACCGAACTACCATATATTTTACTTACTGTTTTCTCTCTCTTCCCATCCCATTCCAACCCAAACCCACTACTGTCAAGTTGACTCCAACTCATTGTGACCCTACAGGACACAGCAGAACTACCCCATAGTGTTTCCAAAGCTGTAATCTTTACAGAAACAGACTGTCATATCTTTCTCCTGTGGAGTGGCTGGTGGGTTCAAACCACCAACCTTTCGATTAGCAGCTGAGTGCTTAACCACTGCATCACTAGGGCTCCTTACTCCAACCCAGTCTCTCAAAATAGAATGTAATCTTAACAAGGACAAGGATTTTTATCTTCTTTTTCATGGTTATATCCTAATGCTTAACACAGTATAGTAGATAGTCAATACGTATTTGCTGAACGAATAAATTCCCCAACACCAAGACCACAGGTTTTCCACTGTCTCTCTCCATTAAAACTTAAACATCTTAACACCATAACTGAAACTTTAGTATCAGCACAGTGACTGCCACAGTTTACATGGAGGAAGAGGAGGGAAAAAAGCATCTACCCGTATGCCCTCCACAGGAATTTCCTTCATCTCACTTCTTCTCTCCCCATGTACCACTCTGAACTTTGATAGGACGAAAAGAAGAAAAAATAATAATAATAAGGGAAAGGGAAAAGGGAGTCAAGGAGGGAACTCCACAGTAGTTGTCCTCTCTCGACAAGACATACGAATGACAGAAGGTCGAAGCTAGGTGGTGGGTACATTGGTGTTCATTATGGTATTATCTCTATTTTTGTGTATACTTAAAGATTTCCATAATAAACATTAAAAAAAATTATTAAAAAAAAATTTAAAAGCACAATAAGTCAAAGTTGCCCAAATGAGTAGCATACTGCTAGAGCTTAGTTTCCCCTACTCATAACAATTATACCTAGATATTTCAAACTGCACCATTAATTTGTCCATTGACTCTGGTACTGTTAATTAATTCTTAGCGTATTTACTCATCTATAAAATGGAAATAACTCTTTTTCCTCTTCCTACTTCAAAGAAATCCCTTCAGGATTAACATCTATTTTAAGTTAATTAAACTACCAGTTATATGGAAATCAAGTGCTATCAGAATTGAATAGGAATTTCTTTGGCTCTTACCTTGTACTTTAGGAATATAAAAAGAGATATACACAGAGATATACTCATGAGGAGCAATGGGAACTCTTACATTCTGCAGGTGAGAACATAAAATGTGTATACAACTACTTGGAAAACCAATTTGGCATTATCATATAAAGCTGAACATGCACATACCCTAGGGACCAGCAATTTTATTCCTGGGTACTGCGCTGGAGAGACTCACACAAGTACCAAAAGACATTAACTATTACTATTATGTACAGTACTCCTAGGAAAACTCAAGGTTTCACAGTAGTACTGTACATAATAATAAAAACGGAATATAGCCCAAATGTCCAGCAATAGGAGAAAGTGTGGTATCATCATACAATGGAAGACTATGCAACAGGGACAATAATGAACTATGAGAAAGGACATTAATAGTACGTGGGAAAGTAAATTTATAGAAGACTGCTTACAATAAGATAACATTTCCAAAAAGCTTAAAAGAAAGAAAAACACAATATATGGTTTAGAATTTCTATATACATGATAAAACCATTTTTTAAAGTGCATGGAGTTGATAAAGATAAAAATCAAAAGAGAGAGGCAAAGGAGGGGATTGAGGACTAACAGGTATATTTGTGCTCAGAATGGGTGGTGAGTTCACAGGTGTTTAATTATTTTACATCATAACATATATAACTATCACATATTCTTTTGTTTGCATCAAATACTATAATTTTTAAATCAGTCCTGTGCTTCAAAGCACTGAGCATACTGCCTAGTAAAAAACAATCAAGAAATGTTACATGCATCCAAATTTATGTCTTTAAGGAGCTGAAGATCTGACAAAAGTTTGCTGTTGTTTACAGTATTTAGTTCTGCTACCAAAATAAAAAAATACCAGGACTCAGAAACTAGCTTTAATATTTCATAAACATTTATTAAAATCAAACCTTATCAATATTTTTCTCAGGTTTAACCTAACACCAGTGCTTTCCTAGAATTTTTAAACAGCAAATTTCTAAAATTCCAAAGCAAACTGGTCAGAAAGGCTTGGGAATCACCTGTAATGCCCTTGAGTATTAGACTGCTGTTTTATGTATATCTTAGTTTGAGGAGAGCGGAAATAGCTTAATGCTTCTATCTACTACCACTATATTTTCTGTATGATTATTTTCTACTTAAAATATTTTCAGAGAGTTAACATATTTAAAGATAATTATAAAAATTACCACTATTTTCATGCTTAAGCTTACTTTCTGCAACACCTAGCACAGTGACAGAAATGGATCCTGCTTAAACATATAGGAAACAGAAATCATTTTCAATGGTCTGGAAATCAATGAGAAAGTTTAAATTAAAAAAAAAAAAATGAAATCACACTCTAAAATCTCTATTAACCAATGAGAGCAAACCACTAGAATGTCAATTCCATGAGGGATGAGGTGTAACCACTCTATCCCCAGCACCTTAGCGAACACCACCACCAGCAGATACTCAATAAATATCTGCTGAATGAATGAAGTATTCTCTATATTTTATAAGGTCAGAAATTTCCTCTCATTCTAAATACCAATGATATACCAAGCAAGAAACCAACAGAAACTATTTATCCTCACCATCTTGAGTACTGGAACCTTTCAACAAGCAAGTATGCAATAACGTCAACAGCAACTGGAGGCATCTGTCAGTTTTCAGCAAAGGTATGTAGGCATTTGTACCAAACTTCATAAGGGCATCCAGAAGAGGATCTAAGAATATCCTTAATACATTCTGTATTCTCCGCTTTTCACTAGATATTAAAAGACATGCCCAAATCAAGCATTTCAAAAGCAAAAAGAAATTATTTTGCATCTATAATTTATAGAATTGGCTAGCTAAGTGATTCAGTTAGACAAAATTACCCTTAAGGATGATCAAAACACCTAGCACAAATCAGGATTGATCTTTTCCTCCAATCTTCTTACTGATCTTTCAGCCTGTGCCTTCCCAGTGAGTTAGCAATTCACTAGAGAAGAAAACACAGGGAAGAACGTATCGTACTCAACTCTAGGCACAAGTATGAAAGAAATCCTATATCCAATTTTATTTGGGAAAAAAAAAATGTTGAAAGCCTTATTACTACCTGCTTCCATAATACAAAAAAAAGTATGCTAGTCAAGGAATTGAGACATATTAAACAAAAAAATACAAAGAAGCATAATTAAGGATTTATGAAAAACTGATATAGCCAACTTTAGCACGAAAACTTTATCTGGAAAAGAGATTTTAAATCAAATTAACCGTATATCATGCAAATATACTATCAAATGTAGCTGCTTTTTGCCACAATTATAATCTAGTGAGAACTGATCTGTTTACATTCTCAAAATATGTGATTGTTTTATCTATATTACCATAATTTTTTTTTTAAATTACACATTTGACAAAGGGGTCAAATCCAGTTAATTTCATTACCCAATCCTATGCTAGGATTTTACAACTCATTCTTCTAATATTATAATCAGTGATTATTGTAGATGGCTGTTTTTTCCCTTTTCTAATTTAACAATTTAACTTACCAATCTAAAAGTACTAATACGCCCTTATTCCTATTAGTTTGTAGTTAATTTAAAACATTTCTTTATATATTGCCAATGTTCTAGTTCCCTCCCTTAATACTCTATACCATTCATTAAAAATCTGAATATACACCATAAATCTGATTAGCATTTTTATTTTTTAAAAAAGCTTTTTTCCCAAAGTTTAGAAGCACTTACCTATACTGATTCCTCATTTCTTCCACATCCACAGCCAGCAAGACCATCATAGCAACAAGCCTGGCTTCAAACCAATCAGGCATAAAGCTGTTTTCTCCTATAATAATATTTATGGTTTGCAAGGCATTAATAAAATCCTCCAAAGATGATGTTTCAAAATCAAAAACACCTTAGTGGTTATACCTTATCAATATTAAACTGTTAGAGAAATACAGCTGAGATGAAATACAGCAGAACACTCTACAGCATGGCTCATTATTATATATACTTAAATATGAACACAACATGAAAAAAACAAATCTTTGCATGCCTGCTACATTCCAGACACTAACCTGGGTGCTGGAAACACAAAGGTTCCTAAGTTAATGGAATTTACAATAAGTAGAAAAGAAAAGCATTGAACAAAGAATATACCAAGAAATGCAGAATTAGGTGGCACAGTAGTTAAGAGCTTGGCTGCTAAACAAAAGGTCATCAGTTCAAATCCACCAGCTGCTACTTGGAAACCCCATGGGGCAGCCTTACTCTGTCCTATAGGGTCACTATGGGTCGGAATCAGCTCCACAGCAATGGGTTTGGTTATTTGATTTAAGGACAATGAAGGAGAAGTACACAGTGCTAGTAGAGTGTACACTAGGAGGACATGTTCTCTTCTGGGGAGTAAAGGAATATTTCCATGAAGAAATAATTAGGCAGAGTTTGAAAAGTTACTTAAGGAGAAATGAGCTAGGTGAAGGAAGACAAGAACATTCCAGACATAAGGAAGCTCATGTTAAAGGTCCCTTGCCAGGAAAGTACATGCCATACTCCAGGAAACAGAAGAATGCCAGTGTGGCTAGGGTACACAAAGTGAGAGGGAGTCGCCAAAGATGGGGCTACAGAAACAGGTCGGGGAGAGATCAGGAAGACCTTTGTTGGCCACGTAAAGGATTTCTGTCTTTATCTGAAAGACAGTGGAAAGCCACTGAAGGTTAAACTGAACATATACGAAGAAGTGGTGGGGGGTATTTATAAGACTAAAATTTAATTTCTGAGAAGATTTCACTAGGAACAACGTAGAAAAGAGACTGTAGAGGAAGCAAATATAAGGTGACCACTTGAAAGGCAATCCTAGAACTTCAGTTGCAAGATGAGTTTCCTATAACATAACCAGAAAGAGAATGTAATACATACATAGGTTTTTGTGTCTCAGACCTATATCTGAACCCCAGTCCCACTACTTATTAGCTCTGGGATCTTGGGTAAGTCAATTAAGCTCCCTGAGATTTTAGTTTCATCCTCTATGAAGCTAAACTGATAACATCTATGACTTTCTTTGGGCTCATTATAAAAATTAAATAACATATGTAAAGTTCCTAGAACAGGTGTTGGAAGATTGTTGTTAGATGCTGTTGAGTTGGTTCCTCTGTCTCTGTAACGCAAATGCCTGGCGCTTAGAAAACACTTGATATATATGTGCTGAATAAATACAGGTCCCCAACTTAGGATAAGGTTCTGTTCCCACTGCTCCATCGTAAGTCGGTTCTGACATAAGTCTAATACCTTTTTTTTTTTTTTTTTTAGTTTTCATTGTTAGTGCTTTTTATTGTCAGTATTTTTCTAAATCTGATTTTTATTTATCTTTGATGGTTGGCATGAGAATGATAACATCAGCAAATTATGTGCTGCAACACTGTATGTGAGACATATTACTAATAATAAGATGTACAAAAAAAGAAAAAAAAGGACAGTCGTTTAAAAGCGGTTTATCGTAACTAGAATATGTAAGTTGTAAGCATTAAGTATTACATAATTATGTAATAGTTGTAAGTCGGGAACTACCTGTAATATAAAATCTTCCTGTACTATGTCAAAAATCAAAGAAAAAGCTGCTTTAGATGTAGAAATTAATTAAAAATGGTATTTTTAACTGATGAGTCTTTACATGAAACCAAATTTGGATTATACATTTTATGCTCAAAAACTAAAGCTGAATAACATTCTCTTTGAAATTTATTACTTTTTTCTGAAAACTGCCCTGTAATTGATAAGTAAACTAAAATTTTATGAAGGTACTTAGGCAAGGGCACCAAGAGTCAAACACAAATATTAAGCACACACACACCACACAAATGCCTCTCTTGCACTTGAAATCAGTTTCTTAACTTAAAACAGCACATTATATTAAATAACATAATAGTTTAAATACTAGAAATATTAAGGAACAAATTCTATAAAGTCATCCTATTTTGACTATTTAGTTAAATCTGATGCTGTTACATACTCCAAATTATAAGATACATTCTATACATACTTTAGGGAGTTTAATCTGTTTTTTTCAGTAAGGACTAAAATTTATTTACTTTTATAGGTCTAACAAAACAATCTTCCAAGTAACCGCATAGAAAATTTACTAGACAATAAAGAGCACAGAACACAAAAGAGAACTGTTCCCTGAAGAAAGAACAGAAAAACTCATATATTCTGGAAGGATAACACCTGATCATTTAAGACCTATTCCATGATCAGATTACAGAAAGCAGCAGTTGAAAATGACTTGGTTGGAGACAAATTTAAGACACATTAAATTCAAAGATACAATTCACTCAACTTGTCACTAATGACTCTAATGAAAAGAAAGCATTAGAAACCTAAAAAAGAATCCTAATTAATGAATTTACTAACAGTTCTTCCCTCATGCTATTTTACACATTTTTTCCCAAAGAAGTGAATATATTGATTTTGCAAAATATCTGGTGAAAAAGAAACAACTCACAAAACCATCCTTTCAAACATAATTTTTCGCTAAAATTCTTTGCAATAATCGATCCACACTTCTCCTATTTACAAAATTCTAATGCTAAGGTGAGAGTGATGAACAGATTTACCTACACATACTTCCACTACAGAGGCTCCCAACACACATGTGCAAGATCTAGCCAATAATAATTACAGAATTAATAAATTTGCGTCCAATTCCTACTATGACAACTCATTGGTTTTTTAATACATATGATATAGTTTAAAAGCTCAAGTCCTGGAACACATAAGGTACAAGTTAAGAAACAGTATTTTTTACATTTTGTTATTCACGTTATATCAGCACGCATTTGCTTAGGCCTAAATCTTCACCTGAAAAAACAGTTAAAATTCTTTGTAAATATTTTGGTTATATCAATCCACAAAAATAATCTCAGACTTACTTTCCCAAGCAGGTGACTTAATATACTCTTGAACTAGGTTCTTTACATAAGCATTCAAAGAAGATGTCTCATGAAGTCCAATGGAGCTACAATTTGAGGATTGCCTAAAACAGCTTTCATTAACACGCAACCAGTCACAGAGCTAGAAAAGAAAATAGTTGTTACTTTATTTTAAAAACCTAACTGAACAAAGTGCATCTAATTTCCCTAAACCAATTTTCTTTCTTCCACAATAAACTTAATTTACATAAGTGAATACAGCAAAGCACTAAACCATTTGTTCTCATGATTGAGTTCCAGACAGACAGAAAAAATAGACAATGTATATATATGTGTGCATGTTTATATATACATGTACACACACACACACGTGTTTTCCAATCTCCCTCAAAAAATTTATAAACTTCATTAGATGATAAGATTTTTTAAAAGGACCTAATATAAAATGCACATTTTGAAAAGGTATTCTGAAGAACATCTCTATGAAAAATAACGCATGTGTAAAACAAATTACAACCTTAAATTAAAATTCATTCCAGCTCATATACTAAAACAGTAACTCTATTTTTGGGAACGCAAAACTTGAAAAACAAGTTATAAGTAAAATTCCTACCCTCCTCACAAGTTTATATTCTCATATATACACATTAAAATATATTAATTTCAATGAGTAAGTGTTCTAGTTCTTCTCCATTACACCTTTTAAAAGATTTGCAAAAATAAAAGTCATAGAATTTCATGATTAATCTTTGATCATATGTAACTGCAAAATTTGTTTTAAAATCTAAATGTATTCTCAATTTCCTTTTCGCTATAGATCTCTTAACGTGCAAATTCAAGAAATGAGTTTAAATATGAAAGAAATGCTTATAAGTGAGTCTTTCTAAAAAGTCAGAATTTTAAAAAATATTTTTATACCCATTAAGGTCATCTAAAACTACATTTATAAGGAGGCAAAAATAATAATAATAAATCACTTGATCAAAGGAAAAATTGATGAATGACTGAAGGAAACAATCTGTCAAGATTGTAAAATTGATGCCTCATAGGTACAAGATTTAATCCATAACATTTCCTTTATTGTTTTTATTTGTTTGTTTTCCAAGTTTTCTACAATAACCAGTAATCAGAAATTTTTAAAAAACCAGCAACTGTGCATGTTTGTATGTATGAGACAAATAGACACACACACATACAGAAAAAGAGAGAGAGAGAGAGGATCTCCACCTAGACACATCCTAGCAACACTTAGGATCAACAGACATCACAGACATAAAAAAGACAGGATGCAAACGAACAGAAAGCGGACTTTTCCTCTTCAACATAAATGGCTCAAGGGAGAAAAAAAAAAAAAAACACATCTACAAAGTTCTATGAAATAAAGGTTCCACCTTATAAATTTTATTCCTAGGAAAGCCAATGAAAAGGCGTTTTCAGATATGCAAGGATTCAGAAAATCTATCATTCCTGTATTCTTCTTTAAATTCATAAAATTGAAAATATGTGTAAACAAATATTAAAAAAAAATTTAAAGTACAAAAATAGAGAAAGGAGTAGAATAATAGGCTTGGTAGTGAACATTAAAACACTTTTTTAAAAATTATGCATACCATACGGTTATATAATCTATTTAAATTAATACAAATTATCAGAAAAACTATAAAGCTGAACACAGCTGTCAAGCATCTTCTAATGAGACAGATTTTTTCCACTTTAAAATTATGATACAGTATATAATACAAAAATATAGAAAAAAGAAAAAATCACTGCAACTAATAAGATTTAAAAACTGCTGACATTTTAGAAGCTCCTCGTCAGTATTTCTGTGTGTATGCGTATGCTGTTTTTGTTTTTTTTTTTAAACATAATTGTGATCCTGTTGTATAAATAATACTATATCTAGTGATTTTTAAGGACTGATTTATGACTGTAAAAGTAACATAGGCTCAGTGCTTTAAAAACACAGAAAAAGTATGAAGAAAAAAAATTCACCTAGAATATCATCATCTTATTTATGACAATCAAACCCTTTGCCATCGAGTTGATTCCGCTCATAGTGACCCTACAGAACAGAGCAGAACAGCCCCATAGGGTTTCCAAGGCATCTTCATGGAAGTAGACTGCCACATCTTTCTCCCGTGCAGCAGCTGGTGGGGTAGAACTGCTGACATTTCAGTTGGCAGCTGAGTGCTTAATTACTGTGTCACCAGGGATCCTATTTATGACATTACTTATTAACATTTTAATCATATTTCATTCCTTCAGTACCCCCCTCACCCCCGCACCAGACAATTTAAAAACATCAACTGAGTTTATGTTGCATATAATGATTTTTAAGCACATTAACACCAAGAACATTTATAAATACTATATTGACAATTAAGAGGGGCTTGACGACAGGTATCTGTCACTAGGTAGTTTACAAATCTCTCTTAATAAACAGAACTTCCAAAGAAAAAGTAATGAAAGACATCATTCAATATAAATTTTAAAACTCCAGAAAATTAGAATTAACACACATAATAATAAAGATACAGACATTCCTTGGCAATCAAAATGGGTATGATGTTTTGGAAGGTGCGTTAAGAGCACAGGGTTTGGTTTCAGACAGACCTGGGTCAGAATCATGGTTCTGCCATTTACTACCTAATGATGATGGGCAAGTTAATTAGTTTTTAAATCTCAGTTTCTTAATCTGTAAAATGCAGGGAAGGCACCTACCTCAAAGAGTTATTAAAACCAAAAGAGAAAATAAATACGAAGAACTTAACAAAACGTCTAGAAAACAGTTAAACATTTACTAAGAGTTCATTATTGTTTTACTATATGTGATATTATATAAAGCGGAGGGGGGGGCACCTCTGTTTTAGTAACACCGCTGGGCTGTGTCTGGCAGAATAAACAGTTCAGCCTTTGTCAGAAAGTGTCATAGCAAAACAGCACCAGTTATTGACAGTGGTTTCAAAGTTGCCTCAATTCCTTTCTGAGAAATGGAAAGGGAGCAAAGGCAAAAGATGAGGTACTGATGAGAGTACTACAGGGCTTGCTTTCTCCTGGACTGCAGAACCTGACAATCTGTAATCCACCTAGAACACAGAATTTTCCAGCCCGAGTAAAAGAAGTCCTCCCAGTCCTTTCATTCCCTGAATTCAACCGTTAAAAAATATTGTTGCTGTTGTTAGGTTGTTCAGACTCATAGCAACCCTATGTACAACAGAACAAAACAATGCCCGGTCCTGTGCCATCCCCACAACTGTTGCTGTGTTTGAGTTCATTGCTGCAGCCACTGTGTCAATCCATCTCACTGACCAAAACTGTCGCTGTCGAGTTGATTCGGACTCAGAGTGACCCTAAACGACAGAGTAGAACTGCCCCATAGGGTTTCCAAGGAGCGGCTGGTAGATTCGAACTGCCAATCTTTGGCTTAGCAGCCGAATTCTTCACCACCGTGCCACCAGGTCTCTCTGATGGTTTTCCTCTTTTTCACTGACCCTCTACTTTACCGAGCGCGATGGCCTTCTCCAGGGACTGCTCCCTCCTAATAACATGTCCAAAGTATATAAGACAAAGTCTCACTATCCTTACTTCCAAGGAGCATTCCGACTGTGATTCTTCCAAGACAGATTTGTTACTTCTGGCAATTCATGGCATATTCAATATTCTTCGCCAACACCGTAATTCAAAGACACCAATTCTTCTTTGGTCTTCCTTATTCACTGTCCAGTTTTCTCAAGCATATGAGGCGACTGAAAATAACATGGCTTGGGTCAGGCCCACCTTAGTCCTCAAGATGACATCTTGGCTTTTTAACACTTTAAAGAGGTATTTTGCAGCAGATTTGCCCAATGCAATGCATTGTTTGCTTTCCTGACTGCTGCTTCCATAAGCACTGATTGTGGATCCAAGTAAAATGAATCCTTGACAACTTTAGTCTTTTCTCCGTTTATCATGATGTTGTTTATTGGTCAAGTTGTGAGGATTTTTGTTTTCTTTGTGTTGAGGTGTAATCCATACTGAAGGTTGTAGTCTTTGATCTTCATCAATAAGTTCTTCCAGTTCTCTTCACTTTCAGCAAAAAGGTTGTGCCATCTACATATCGAAGGTTCCTCCAATCCTGATACCATATTCTTCATATAGTCCAGCTTCTCGGATTATTTGTTCTGTATACAGATTGAATAAGTACGGTGAAGTGATACAACCTTGATTTACAACTTTCCAGATTTTAAACCACCCAGTATCCCTTTGTTTAGTCTGAACGACAGCCTCTTGGTCTATGTATGTACAGGTACCTCATGAGCGCGAGTAACTGTTCTGGAATTCCCATTCTACGCAATGTTATCCATAATTTGTTATTACCGACGTAGTCAAATGTCTTTGCACAGTCAATAAAACACAGGTAAACATCTTTCTGGTATTCTCTACTTTCAGCCATGTCTTAGTCTTCTAATGCTGCTATAGCAGAAATACAAGTGGATGGCTTTAACAAAGAGTAGTTTGTCCTCTCACAGTCCAGTAGGCTACAAGTCCAAATTCACGGCATCAGCTCCAGGAGAAGGCTTTCTCTTTGTCAGCTCTGGAGGAATGTCCGTGTCATCAATCTTCCCTTGGTCTGGGAGCTCTTCTGCACAGGAACCTCAGGTCCAAAGGACGCACTCTGCTCCTGGCACTGCTTTCTTGGTGGTATGGGGTTCCCATGTCTCTCTGCTCGCTTCTCTCTTTTATTTCTCAAAAGAGTCTGGCTTAAGACACTATCTAATCTTGAAGACCTCATCAGTACAACTGCTGCTAATCCATTTTATTACATCAGTGATAGAGTTTACAACACATAAAGTAATCACATCAGGTTACAAAATGGTACAGAATCATACCATACTGGGAATCACGACTAAGCCAAATTGATACACACATTTTTGGGGGGACATAATTTAATCTGTGACAAGCCAAGATCCATCTAACATCAGCAATGATATCCGTCATTCCACATCCTCTTCTGAATCTGGCTTGAATTTCTAGCAGTTCCCTGTCGATGTAAATGCTGCAACTGTTTTTTAATTATCTTCAGCAAAATTTCACTTGTGTGTGATATTAATGATATTGTTCGATAATTTCCACATTCTGTTGGATCACCTTTTCTTGTAATGG